GCCCGTGGTGTGCTCATCTTGAAACTTAGGGTGCTGTGTTGAAGATTGAGCTATGCGGAGGGAAGGCTTAGGATCATGCTTGGCTCATAAATAGCAGTATGTGGTGGTAGCTGCATGGCAGTGATATTGTCAGAGAATTGGAGCGTGATTTGCTTATTGAACTACAAGTGGTTCTGTATGACTGCTCTTAGGGTGCAAGACTGCAGGAGGTGGGAGTGGGTGGTGAAAATAATATGCTTGGCAGGTAGGCAGGATTCCAGAACATAGAGTGTATAGGAGTGTAAGGCAATTAAGAATGGAGTCTCATGGCAGAACCAGGACATTTCCATGGTAATATGTTAAGATTATATCATGAAGGTTCTGGGAAAACTTGGGTCCATATTGGAAAATTGGCTCCAAAGATGGTATTCTCAGCATCATTACATGTACCAAATTAGCAGTAAGTGTTAATAGGACAGAAATAGGATTTTCAGTTCCTTTAGCCAAGTAGTTAAAAATATTGAGTATCTTGGAGTGTGGTGGAAGAATAGGCAATCACAAGGTGGTCTCAAGGAGCCTCTACAAATTGTTCCAGCCTTACCTGTTGTCAGGCTCAGTGAGAGCGGGAAGGGCTGTTAGACCATTTGCATTTAAAGGAGACACTTACTTTTTATTTTCTGATTTACAGAGAAATAGAAATGCTTCCATCTGCATTGGCTTCACTGGCCCCTAAAATAACTTCTGTATATTTGTTGGTGTGTTATGTAACTTGTCACAACATTAGTCACCGTTTCTTCCATAAGGCAACATGTAAACGATCATGGATCAGCATGACTATAGCTTACAATTATAGACCAATTTGTTCTTGGTGTTTTCATCAGCTTGTTGCTTTACTTGTTTTATTTTTTTTTTTTTCTGGGAGACTGTTATAATCTTTGGCTCTATGTGATAGAACTCTGCCAGCTATTGGAACTGAGTAATCTGAGATAGTTTTGTTATTTATTACTCATTAGACTGAAGTAGCTCTGGGTAGGGTAGAAGAGAAGTAGACTTTATCTTCTACAAATGCCTTTTTTTTCTTTGTAATGTATCTTATTGCAGAAGCATATTGAAATGACATATGTTTATGTTATAGGCACTAAATTATCTGGAAGAATTCCATTCACTAGAGTAGTGGTTTTTAATGTATGATTATCCGTCCAGCAGCATCAGTATCACTTGGGTACTTATTAGAAATGCTGGGCCCGGTGCAATAGCGTAGTGATTAAGGTCCTCGCCTTGAGGGCGCCCGGGATCCCATATGGGCGCCAGTTCTAATCCCGGCAGCTCTACTTCCCATCCAGCTCCCTGCTTGTGGCCTGGGAAAGCAGTCAAGGACAGCCCAAAACTTTGGCACCCTGCACCTGTGTGGGAGACCTGGAGGAGGCTCCTGGCTTCTGGTTCCTGGCTTTGGATTGGCTCAGCTCCAGCCATTGTGGCCGCTTGGGGAGTAAATCATCAGACGAAGGATCTTCCTCTCTGTCTCTCCTCCTCTCTGTATATCCTCCTCTCCAATAAAAATAAAATAAATCTTAAAAAAAAAGAAATGATGATTCTTGGGGTTGGTATGTAAGTATTTCATTTTTATTTTTTTTATAAAAGATTTATTTATTTTTATTGGAAAGATCAGACTTATAGAGAGGAGAGACAGAGGGAAAAACCTTCTATGTGCTGGATTGCTCCCCAAATGACCGTCACAGCCAGAGCTGAGTCAATCTGGTCAGGAACCAGGAGCTTCTTCCGGGTTTCCCACTGGGTGTAGGATTCCAAGGCTTTGTGCCATCCCCTATTGCTTTTCCAACCGTAAGCGGTAAGCAGGGAGCTGAATGGGAAGTGGAGCGGCCGGAACACAACTGGCACCATCTGGGATCCTGGCACTTGCAAGGCAAAGATGTTCCGTTAAGTTATTGCATCAGGCCCTGTTTCCTTTTTAACATGCACTTCCTTGAGCCTTTTCTTCTCTTTTCTTGAGGTTTATTTATTTAGAATGAATTCCCATTGACTGCTTCATTTCCCAAATGTTTATCACTTATCACAGCCAGGACCGGGTCAGACCTAAGTCAGGAGCTGAGGTTTCCTGTGAGGGTAACAGGAGCCACCATTGCCTGCTGGCTCCTACGGTGTGCATTCGTTTGGAATTTGAAATTGGAAATGGATCTGGGGCTCAAACACAGGCACTCTGCTGTTGGATGCTGGCATTGCAAGCTGCATCTTAACTGCTCAGATACATGCCTGCTCCTGAGCTTCGTGTTTGAGGATCTCAGAGCAGGCCGCTGCAGCTGGAGTTCAGTGGACAAAGGAGAGAGCTCTGAAGTGAAGTTGGATAGGTAGGCAAGGGCCAGACTGTGTAAGACTTCTTGGGTCCTGGAAGGACATTTGTTTTCTCTGATTTAAAAAAAAAATGTTTAGAGGTGGAGAGAGAGTTCCCATCTGCTGGCTGGTTCATCAAGTGGGGTAGCAGGGATCCATGTACTTGAATCATATTTGGCACCTCCTAGAGTCTGCACTGTGGGAAGTTGCAGTCAAGAACCAGAGCAGAGAATTGGACCCAGGCTCTCCAAGGTAGGGCTTAGGCTTCTCAATTACTGAACGAAGCACCTGTTCACCACTGTGTTCCCACCCCCACCCCCCAGACACCCAACTTTTATATGGTGATAAAATACATGTAACAGATAATCTTTGTAACTTCCTTTAAGTGCATGGTGCTGTGATATTAAGCTTTCACTGCATTTGAGAATAGGGTCAGGCATGGGCAAAGGAGCAGCTGGACAGGAAGGAGGGAGGAGAGGCAGTGGGAAACCCCTGAGAGGCCTGCCCTGGAGGGGAAGGGAAGAAAGTGTCCGGCAGGAGGATTGTCCCCGGGCACATCACAAGCTGCCGAGAGGCTAAGGTGAACACTGAGGTGGCACATTTTGGCACATTTTTAGCAATGTGGAGGTCTGACGTGACTGGAAAGTTGCTTCTGTGACAGAGCATTCGGCGGCCTGAATAAAGTATAACAAAGCAAAGAGAAAGGAGAAGCAGAGACAGCACTGATGCTGTTAGGGCCTTCACTGAGCCGGGTCACAGGTCTGCAGAAAATGCCTATAGCTAGGTGAGTGTGCTGAGCCGCCAGCGTTTTAAAGTGTGCTATGTTAACATCTTCGTGGTCATGTTATTTTAATTTCTTTCTTTTCTTTGTTTTTTTAAACTTGATTGTCCGGGAGAGAGCTGTATGTTGGAGTTCTCTGACAAATACCAGTGATGTTCACAGTTGGGCCAGGGCAAAGCCTGGCGCCAAGAATGTACACAGGGGTCTCACGCAGGCGGCAGGGGTCTCAAGCATCAGCACAAGCTGCCTCCTAGAGTCTTAGTAGGAAGCTGGTGTCGCCAACCAGCAAGAACACCTAAGCACTCTGAACTGAAATACGGGAGCCTTAACTAGTGTTCTAACCCCCCACCCTTCACCCCCCACCGGGCCAAATGCCTTTCCCCATTGTTTCCATTCCTAGATGGAGCCACATCAATCTAAACGTGGAGATATGAATAAACAATGCGTGGCAGCTCCTCTGAGCCCCTGCGGAGTCCTGGGGTGACACAGCACATTTGGAGAACTGTTAACTTCATCCAGGGATGAAACTCTGAGATGAACTTCAGCCAATTGCAAAATGCACTTAAGAGAGAGATTTTTAGGTTTTGGTGGGAATCTTCTGATGTGCCTCTGATTATACTACCTATTACTCATGAAAGATGACCCTAGAACATTCCTTTCTTTCATCAAATGCTCTATCTTGAGATCTTTTTCATGAACCAAGTGTTTCCATCTGGTATTCTCTTGAATGTTTGGTGCCAAAAGCTGTGTAGGTCATTTAGTGCCTACTTGCAGGGGGGGAAAAAAGAGCATAGCAATTTTAAGGCCTTCTTGAAACTTTACTTTTTTTTTCTTTTTTTAAAGACTCTGATTTAGTGTCTGATTTTTTGTAATTACTATGTTTGACAAAGTCTGTTTAAATGCCTGGACTTTTAGAGCAGCTGACTTTTTTCTTTTTTTTCCCCCATATAGGCCCTTATTTAAAGCAAAAGCCCACGCTTCTCTTCTGTGACAAAACAAAGACTCCTCACGGGAGAAATAAATGGATCCCTGGCTCACAACACACATATTGTTCTGCTTCTAAGCAGAAGGAGCAGGGAGTGTTACCCACTGAATTTTACTGAATTTAAGATGATACTGCTTGAGAAGATGTACCATTATTATGTAGTGCCAAACAAGACAAAAAGTGCCAGCCTCTAGGATTATAAAAATGCTACAGGTTGTAAGAGAGGTGACTGTGAGGGGGTGAGGAGAGTTTCGTCTTAGAATCTGTGAGCCAGGAGGCGGGAGCCGTGTCCTGGCGTCGTCTCCAGCTTGCTGTGGGACCACGAGCAGTCCCTGAGATGCTGCTGTGGTTGCGAGTCACGCCTGTCACACCTGTTTCACAGGATTTTGACATGAGAGATGAGAGAAAAGGAAGAGTTGATTTGAAACTTGGAGGTTGGCACAGTGGCTTAACAGGCTAATCTTCTCACTCTAGTGCTGGCATCTCATATAGGCACTGGTTTTAGTCTGGTCTGATTGGCTCCCTGCTTAAGCAGCGGAGGATGCCTCAGATGCTTGGGTCCCTGCACCCATGTGGGAGAGCCAGAAGAACTTTGGCTTGGGATTGGATCAACCTTGGCCATTGTAGCTATTTGGGGAGTGAACCAGCAGATAGAAGATCTCTTTCCTTTCTCTGTCTTTCCTTTACTCTCTGTAAATCTACCTCTAAAATGAAAATGAATAAATTTAAAAAAGCGAGGAGCAGGGCACTCTGCTGGGGTCTCTTGCTCGTGTGGCAGGGATTCATGTACTGGGGCTGCCATCTGTGGCTTTCCAGGCATGTCAGCAGGAAGCTGGCTCTGCAGTTCAGAGCAGCTGAGACTCCCACGGTACTCCTAGGTGGTCTGCCGATGTCCCAAGGGGTAGCTTGACTCACTGCACTGTCATTCCTGTCCCCATCAATGAATTTTCATCCAAGCCGGAAATCATATTTATATTGTGGTTTTGAAATCAAAGAGAAAATAACAAATAATATAAGTAAAACACCTAGAGTTAATGCCCGTGAAACCTTCTGTTAGTGCTGTAATCTTTGTAAAAATCACGATAGTTATGACATAAAAGAGTAAAAATGAGCAGCACTAAACATTCCTGTCCCTGCCTTTGCCTTGCAGGAGTAGTGTCTTGCATTCAGATTAGCACACTGTCTTGACAATAGTCTGTTCAGATAAGATACTGCTTCCCTTCTTTTTGTCTTTAACACTTAAAGATGAGTAAGTTGATTTTGTCATCTGAGTGTTTTTATCCTGGAATGTGGGGGAAATGACTACTTTGTGCTGGTGTGACTTTGGTCTCCTCTCCCCATGGCTTTGCAGATCGAACGGTGGGCGTGGGGAGTACGATGTCTGTAGAATCGCTGTTATGGCTAGCCGGTTATGTGCCAGGCATTGTGCCTGGACGTTTTCAATGCATTTTTTTTTTTTTTTGAAGTTTTACTGTAGGCCTTCCAGTTAGGTGTGTTTGTTTTGTAGATTAGGAAGGTGTGGTTAGAGAAGTTGAGGAGCTTGCCCACAGTGGTTCCGTGGCCATCCAGTTGTGGAGTTGATGAAGACACACCCACCCCTCACTCCCTATGAAAGTCCACATGTTCTGGGTTACACTGCCTCAATTCTTGTTAGCAATCATGATCTGTTTTTTTTTTTTTTTTTTTTGTAGGCAAAACCCAGAGACCACGTTTGAAGTATATGTCGAAGTGGCCTATCCCGGGACGGGTGGCGCTCTTTCAGGTACTTGCGTGTTCTATTATAATGTGAAATATTTGTTTATTGTCTGGGACAGCCATGCAAATATGTGAATCAGGGTAATAAACTGTTACTACTTCTTGATTACATTTAAATGCCTTTACCTTTTACACCTGCCTACATCATCCTAGAAAGAATGGAGACTTAGCAATATGGTGAATAGTTGGGTTGGCCGTCACCACCATGCGGGCATGATTCATTGCAATCATTTGGTCTTGGAATTGATGTTTCACAGCGCTCTGGGAATCAGCTGGTGTGCAGTGTTGTCAGATTGCTAATGAGGAAGAACTTTGATGTTTAGAAGTGAGTTACAGTGTACAGACTAGCAAAAAGGGAATAGTGACCCTGAGCTGGAGGATATTTGAAATTGACTTAGTAAATTCTATGTTTACTGGCTAAAGAAGTTGGAAATTAGTTAAAGTAAGTACTTTCTATTGCTGTAGGCTTTTGGATATGTATTCCTGGACAACAGAGTCTTAGTTGAGATTGGGACATCCTGTGTAAGCTGGGTAAATATCACTTCCTGACCTAAATTCCTTCTGATTCTTGAGAAGACTAATCTTATGGTCTAGTGTTCTTTTTTGTTGTTGCCTGAGAAAGTGATGCTCTTCGCCACAGGATGTGTTAGGGACTGTTGATCAACATATCAGTACTCTGCCTGAATAATTTGGTGATAAGGGAGAGTGAAATCATTTGCATAGGAAACCTGGAGTAATCAAGATTCCAATAGTAGTTATGCCTTTAAGTGTCTACAACTTTGGGTTTATTTTCCATTTTGTAATTTTATTTGGATTGAAGTAATTATAAATATAATATCTATATATGTGGATACATATGTATATATATGCCCATTTTGCTTATTGTGTGCATATATATATATTTATATATATATGCCTGTGTATTGCTTATTTGAAAAGCAGTGTGACAAAGAGTAAGAAACAGCAAAAGAGATTTTCCTTTTGCTGGTTCACTTGCCAGATGTCTGCAGTGGCTGGGGCTGGGCCAGGCTGAAGCTGTGAATTCTTGATTCTGTCTGAGCCTCCTTTATGGGTGGCAGGGCCTGAGCACTTGGGCCATGTTTTATTGCTCTCCCAGACACATTAGTAGGGAGCTGGATATGGAATGCTGTGTCATGAGTGGCGTCTTAACTGCTTCTCAGCACCAACCTACCTGTCTTTTACTGTGTACCTGTAGCGTTATCCTACATACTTCATATCTATCTTGTCAGTCTTTATTGTATAATCCATTATGCTTATAAGAAAACAGAATCACAGATAGGAGAAATAAGTTGCCAAAATCGTATAGCTACTGTGCAGGGGTAGCTAGCATTTTCATTTTAAGTCTTCTTTGGTCTTCTGAGAAGCTTCATGAGGGCACTGACTCTGTTGCATACCTCTTTCCATGTCATTTTGCAGGGCTGAACACAATGTCACCTATATATTTTTTTTAAATGAATGCTCAGTAACTAATGTAACTATTCTTTACTTCCTAGATTATATAATGAAGGCTGTTAAACATAGTACAGATTGAAGTTTGCCTAGAAATAGTTAGCAGTCTTGCCAAGTCATACCTCTCACCGGGATAGTTATGTAGTAGTTAATTCTGTGTTTTCTTGACTAATGAGATTGATGTTTTTTGTTTTTGTTTTGTATATATATGAAAGGCAGAAAGATTGGGAGAGATCTTCTGGTCACTCCTGAAATGGCCACAATGGCTGGAGCTGGACCAGTCTGAAACCAGGATTCAGGAACCTTTTCTGGGTATCCTACTTGGGTGCAGGTGTCTGAGAACTTGTGCATTTTCCACTGCTTTCCCAGGTTCATTAGCAGAGCTGGATTGGAAAAGGGCAGCTGGGACTTGAACTGGTGGCCACATGGGCAGCAGCTTTTCCTGGTACGCCACAGTGCCAGTCCTAATCACTTTTTCGTATGCTTACTGACCTCTTGAGTATCTACTTTCATAAAGTGCATGTCCAAGTGTCTTATTCATTTTAAAATTGAGTTTTCTACTTTTTTCTCTTGGTTCATAAATTCTTTATTACTCTCTGGTTATGTGTGGCAAGTATCTTCTCTTTTGTTGGTTTTTCATTTTATGATATCTTTGATCAAACCTTTTGTTTTTACTGTAGTATGACCTACTAATATTTTCCTGAAGATGTAAAGAATTTTTCCAATGTTTTCTTTTAAGAGACCTATTGATGCACCTTTGACATGTAATTCTTTATTGAATACTTTAGTTTTCTGTGATTCATATTCATAAAAATTAAACTTTAAATTTGATTCCTCATTTGTGATTTTTTTTTTAAATTAGGAAGCTAAATAAAACTGGATCATTAAAGTGTGTAACATCTTTCTCTTAAAGCGTATTATATAAAGTGATTAAGTACTTCAGCTCATACCTAAGAAGGTACCTATGGCAGAAGGGGGCCAGTTTGGAGGGAAGATCCTCTGCTGATTGCATTTGCTGTCTGTGCCAGTGGAGACATGCAACATCAGCCTTCCCTCCCCAGTTCTGAGCACTGAAGCGCCTCTCATTGAGTCCAAGGAAGACACTCGGGACCTTCCAGTTGTACTTAGAGCTCCAGCACTGAGCGGAACACTTCCCAGGTTAAACAGGCAATGCCTGGTTATTCAAACCCAGCTCCACTTGCTTCCTTTGGAACTGGTCGGATTGCCTACTTGCTGTTACCACTATCAAGACTGGATCTTAGATTGCTTCTGTCTGCTTTTACAGTCTTCTTAATTGCTTTTGTTAAAGTCTGTCCTGCTTGCCTCCTCATGATATTATTTGAGGCATTGTTTTTAAAATTTCAGATGATGGCAAGCCACTACTTTTTGCTTAGTCCTTGCTCCTCGGATTTAGAGCTCTTTTCTGAGCCACATTGTCTCGTCAACTTAGATAGAAACGTTCCCTCTTTCATACAGTGCTAGTGCCTTGGCATAATCGTCTCTTTGAAGTTAGCTGCCTCCACCCAGAGGGGTTAATTCCCTGCTGTGAGAAGGTGGGTTAGAAGGCACTAAAACTGCTTTGCAGGTCTTTAATTGGAGGATTTAGTATACATTTTGTTCTATAAATTTCTGTGGGAGTTTCATTCTTAAAATATTTCTTGTATTGTGGTATGTTCTCCTTGTAAATTGAAGATGTATACTAAAATTCTTCTCAAGTTATTGAATACATATGGACAGACTATCCTGGTATAAATGTGTATTTGTGTGTTTCTATTCATTTAAAACTTACTAGGTTGTTTTCTGATGAATTCTGGAGTATGTGTGAGATTCAAAAAGTTTAAAAAATTATAAAGAGAAAAATCACTCAGTAGTAACTACTATGAATGTTTTGATACATTTATTTTCTTTGTGTGTGTATGTGTAAATAAAGTACCTAATTTTTCCCCAAACTCTTTTGTCCCCCAAACTCTTACCATATGTGTGTGTTCTCTTTTCTTCTCTTGCTTGATCATTAAGCTTTCCATAAAATGATTAATATTGGTTTGTAAAAGTCCTTTCAGTTGCTGTGAATTATTTTATCAAGTTTATTTGCCATGTTTACTTGTAATTGGATCTGCAAATTGTTCCCTGGGCTCTTCAGTGAGTGATGCCAACAGACATCTTGTCTGTCACCAAGGCGCTTGTTTTTGATGCTCTCAAAAGAAACTGGACTGTTCTGAGTAGATCTTTGATCCATTTTGTCTTTAAGATTTTTATGCTTTCTCTCTTATTGGTCACCTTCTGTTGTGCGCACTTTAATTTGTGTATTTGTTCAGGAACTCACGTTTTCCGTAAGGATCCCAGGAAAGCACTGCTGGCGAGGGTGAATTCAGCCTGTGTCTACGAGGTCTCGGAAGAGGGTGCTCTTGCAAGAGAGATCTGTCTGCGAGGTCCCGTGAGCCAATGGAACTGGCCAAGCAGAAACTGTGGAATGCGTTTCCAGCTCCAATGTCTCATTACAGCTGGCATCCCAGGGTCCACTGCTGGCATTCCTCTTGGGTAGATGCTTAGCCCTGGGAGAGTGGCAGCACTGGGCTCCATGGGACCTGTCAGCCTGCCAGCCCCTGCTGCCTGCTCCCCTTGCAGCATTTTAGATGTAGCAGTCCAATGGACACTTTCCCAAAAGGAGGAGATGGTCAACTTGAAAGAGTTTTGTGGGAACTCTGAGAAAGGAACACATGAGGCATGGTATGTTGGTAGCTGTTTTTCAGCTACTCTGATGTGGATCTACAACCTGAAAACAAAAACAAAAAAACAGTTTTTAAATCTCTCCTAAATAACTCCGTGTATGTGTTTCTGTATTAGCAGCATCATGAAGAAAACTGTGTCTTAAAGGTTTGTTGTTCTGGACTTTGGCTTTCATTTTATGGGACTATAAAGGGGCCTGGGAGCTGTGCCTGAATCTGTGGTCAAAGTCGATGGCCAGCATTATTCAGCATTTAAAAACATGATTTTTGAGGTGGTATGATGGTGCGGTGGGTTAAGCTGTTACCTGTAGATGCTGACATCCCACGTGATAGCTGCCTCCAGCCCTGGCTGTTCCACTTCCAGTCCCTTCTAATGCTCCTGGGAAGACAGTGGCACACGACCCCAGTGCACGGGCCCACGTGTGATGGTTGTGGCCTCAGTGTAGGGAGAGGATCAGTGCAGGGAAGATTTATGCTTCTATCTCTCCCTGTCCCTCTATTGTTTTGCCTTCCAAATAGGAAATCTTCAATAAAAATAGTAAGGACATAAAAGGACTCAAGGAAAGGTAGTTTATTTAGGACAATTTCTCCAGTTGCTATGATTTAGCTGCCATCCCAAGTACACTATGAGGAAGCTAGATCAGAAACCCAGTAGGTGGGACTGGAACCTGGGCTATGATTTGAGATGCCAGCATTGCAGTGGCAGCCCAACTTACTGTGCCACAACACTCCGCTTTGTTTCCCCTGCCTCTCTCCTTCCTTTATTCCCTCCCTCTCTCTCTGTCTTGCTCTCATTCTTTTTATAAATTTA